CAACTCGCTAACCACGCAAGCTTTGAAGCTGAAATTTTGCCAACGTGTTTTCCAGTCAAGTACCACTCCAGGACCGCGATATCAACCCCCACGCACGCCTGGGCGCTGCGTACGAGCACGTGAAAGTTTTGGCGGGAAAACTGCTGACTCGGGAACGAGAAAAGCTAGAAATCTAAAACCACAGGGGAATGTTTCCTACCTGTATATGACAGAAAGATTTTAAATTCAGCTGCCCAGGACTGCCCGGAGCTTACATACGGGCACGTGAAAATTATGGCGGGAAAATTCGTAACTCGGGAATGAGAAGAGCTGGAAAAAAAAACTTTGGAGGAATGTTCCCTACTCATGTACGACCAAAAGTTTTCAAACTCAACTCCTTAGGACCGCCCGGGACTCACGTACGGGCACGTGAAAATTTTTGACGCGAAAATTACTAACCCGGGAACGGGAAAAGCTAGAAAACTGAAACTTTATGGCAATGTTCCCTACCCATACACGAGCAAAACCAGATGTTTAGAAGCGCCCGGGCCCACCTACGGACACGTGGAAATTTTGGCGCGAAGGGGACGAAAAAAGCTAGAAAGCTGAAACTTTAAGGGAATGTTTCCTACTCATGTACGACCGAAATCAGGTGTTTAGAAGCACCTGGGGCCCACGTACGAGCACATAGAAATTTTGGCACGAGAATCATTAACTCGGGAACGAAAAAAGCTAGAAAGCTTAAACTTTAGGGTAATGCCCCCTACTCATGTATAACCAAAAGATTTCAAATTCAGCTCCTGCTTTCCCCGTTCCTGAGTTTATTCTGGTGGGAAAACTGCTAACTCGGGAAGGGGGAAGCTAAAGGCTTTAATTTTATGGGAATGCCAAATTTAGCTCTTCTAGTGTGGCCTTTTTCGCGGACCAGCAACTTTCCATTTGTCGGGTCACTGAAGTTGACATCTACAAATGACATACCACATAGCTGCGCAATTAACTTCCCGAACTTCGAGGGCCAGTATGTCACAAGGTTAGCTACTGTGATTCCTTGTGGTCTTGATACGGCACGAAAAGTCCAAAAACTCATAATCGCACTGGCCCGCCTGGTGCCTTCCAGCCTGGGTATGGAACATAAACTGGACAATCGTTCCCAGCAAACACATCCTCCTAGCGAACTGTTTCAGACCGGCACTTGCAGACTATCCGGTGTCGGCCGCAGGTAAGTTCGCGAGAGTGCGATGCCGCTTACGGTCATCGTCTCCCCCTCCCTCCTCAGTCTTTCGTTCGCGAACGTAAATCTTATACTGAAGGTATTTTTAGTACAAGATATTGGTGTCCAGCTATCGAATTTTGTGAAAGCAATGATGAAAGCACATGGAGAGAGTCGTAATGCTGTGGCCTCTGCTAATGGTCTATTCCCGATCGATATTGACCTCGAGCAAGTATGTTTATTGGTATTGCCATTTTCCAGATTCGGCTTTTCACTCCTTCCTCGGGATCCGTCTGCCCCATAGTGTACTTTTGCTCTGTCATTTCGGGGCCATACTGGGTCGCCCACCACTTGTCTCTCATTGCATTTGCCCACGGTGGGCATACAAAGAACAGAGCAAATGCACTGGCCATGCCGGAGCAGCTTGGCGCAAAAGCATACCAGCGGCATAGAACAGCAGGAATTTTATCTCCAGTAGATACGGATGAACTCGGACACACTGGCAGCTGCACCAGTTGACTGCTTCGTCTCAAATCTGAGTGCTGATATTGGCCAGAAAAGCATTAGTGCGGGACCGAATGTTTTAATACGGCAAGTACCAAAACTCGACTCGGCTAAGCCGCGCGATTTTCACGCTTTTTTGGGTTTGAGTTCAAGTTGCAAAAGTCCAGGTATCAGGTCTTTTGTCTAGACAAAGTTCTTGGCGTCGAACTTCCCTACGGTGTCAAGTTTCTCTACGGTGTCAAGTTTCAGACTGAACATGAAGAATTCTTTCAAGCACCACTCCCACAAACTCCGCCCTTGTTTCCAAACTCCTACCTCCAAGGGGAGCATCAGTTCCTTTGTGCCAATAACCCTACCCTACCTTACCATAACGATGCCCGAGACAGACTATACCTGTGCCACTTCAGCACTCCAACTTAAAAGCAGTACACAGATGACAAATTACTGATGAGGAAGAAACGATTTTGAGGACGTGTGACGATGGCGAGCGGATGAGTGCGAGTTTATAACAGATCTACAACGACTCTGGGGGCCGATCTGAAAGCACACTGAATTTACAACGTTATGGTCAAGTCTAGATTAGCTGCACGAATCGTTTCGATATACCCCAGTAACAGTACTAATGTGGTAGCCACTCTGGTAGCCCTGATGGCCTGGATAATC